GCAAATAGCTGTAGCAGGTGGCCCTCCTTCCCCTTCTGCTCCAGGCTGTGTTGCAAAGGCAGAATTGGTGGTGAGGGGGCCCGGGGTTTAAAGGCAGTGGCTTGTAGCAAGAGCAGGGACATGGTTTCACTTATCTCTGCCTTTCCCTCAACACAGCCCAAACACAGATCCCTACCCATAATAAAAAACCAACGTGCTAAATTCTCCAATTAAAGGTCTCTTCCCTGCCTTCCCCTTACTCAGAAATCATTAAAAAAATAATAATAAAAGGCTTAAAAGCTAGAAGGGAATTTTTAAGGCATCTAAATCCAAACCTCTCGTTTTACAGATAAAAATAAATAAATAAAAATAAGCCCACAGAGGAAATAGTTTGTTCAAGGTCAAGCTGCTCATTAGGCAGCAGAGTTGGGACTCCAGCCCAGGAAAGTCCTTTTTGCACTGAGGCTCCATTATGAAGTGGCGTTCCCAACTCAAGAAAACTAGGTCTGCCTACGTCTAACTCGTGGGGCTTACGTCAAGGGCTGAACTAAACTCTTTAAGGGTGAGCACTGTGGAGGCCTTGGGAAGGAAAATGTGGTATGGTGGAATGGATTTGGTGCCAGGAAGGCCTGGGATAGAATCCTGGCTCTGTCACCAACTACCTTGAGGAAGTCATCTCTCTGGGGCTATTTCTTCAGTCAGTCAGTATCTATCTGCCAGGCACTGTGCCAAGTGCTGGGAATACAAAGAAAGGTGAAAGACGTTTCCTGTCCTCAAGCGGCTCACAATCTAATGGAGGAAGCCAAGCAAAAACTATGTACAAACATGCCATATAAGGATAAATTGAAATAATCAATAGAGAAGGCACTGGGATTAAGAGAGACTGGGAAAGGCTTCCTGGAGAAGGTGGGATTTCAACTGGCACTTGAAAGGAAGCCAGGAAATCGGCATGGGGAAATATATGGAGTCTGGAGATGGAGTGTCTGCTTCCAGGAATGGCAAGGAGGCCAGTGTCATTAGATCGAAGAGTAAGGTGTAAGAAGCCTGGAGAGGCTGGGAGGGGGGGAAAGGAGAGGCTGTGAAGGGCTTTGAAGGCCAGAGAATTTCATATTTGATCCTGGAGAGGGAGCAATTATAGTCTATTGAGTGGGGAAGGGGGCAGTGGGTTTACATGGTCAGACCTATGCTTCATGAAGATCACCAGCCTAGATGGAGAGCTCGTAACATAGCTGAGCCCAGGCCCAAGAAAATACCAGGCCTTCGGGAGGCAGCTTGGCATCTTACCATTCAATAAAGGCATGGCATGAGGCTGAACAGCTGCTCCCTGGGACTGGGACGTGAGGTGCTGAGTCCAGGGCCAGGAGACAGTTTCTCCAAATGTGAGTTGCCTACTCAATTCCCAAAGTCCCAGAAGGGCCTGGGCCCCAAAAGGACATTAGCAGGCATCTTCTGAATTCCCAGAAATCCTAGTCTGAGAATGTGGGAATGGGGGTGGGGGATTGAAGAGGCCCCCAGCCCTCAGAAATGCAATGAGGCCATTAATTTCTCAGCAATACCTGCTTAATATGCCATGAAGTCAGACAGCCTGGTTACTTCTGGCCAAGCCAGCACACTTTCCTTCCGAATTGGTGTCCCCCCCCCCACTTGGGGCTGCGACTGACAAGATCCTCACCACTGTAGACACCACTGTGTCTCAAAATCTTGATCTTGCCCCAACCCCCAATGGCAACCTCCTTTGAATTGGGGAGATCTCTGAAAAACATCTCTGCCAAAACACCACTTGGGCTCCAGTGGTTATCTCCACAGTACCCAGGCCTGCTTATATGCCGATCTCACTCTGACACCATCCTTGGCTCTTTCCAAACCTGCCAATTATTTCTTAAGTCTTTTCTTGATCTTCACCCTTCTTGACCTCTCTGCCGAGTTTGTCCCCATTGATTACTCTCTCCTCCGGGTTTCCATGATTCTGCTCTCTCTTGGTTCCCCTCTTTCCTGGCCCCTTCCTTTCACTCTCCTCTGCTGCTTGCTTGTGTCATGGCCCCTCGATGTGGGTGCACCCCAAGACTTTGTTCTGGGACCTCTTATCTTTATACTTTCTCATGTAGTGAACTCATCCCCTTCTATGGATTCAGTTATCTCTCTACAGACAAATCTACATCAATGTAACCAGCCTCAGTTCTTTTTCTGAGCTGCCTATTGAAAATTTCAAATTGAACATCCTGTAGGCAACTCAAACTCAACATACCTGAAAAAGAGCTTATCTTTTTGCCTGCCCACCTCTCCTTCCTATTTCTGAACTTTCCTGTTTCTGTTAAAGAGATCTCGACCCTTCTAGTCACCCAGGTGACTAGCTCAGTGTTCAGGTGGCTCCGAAGGAAAGTGTGGGAAAGAAGAGGAATTAGGCTGCCTTCCAAAATGAAGGTCTACACACATGTTGTGCTGACCTCATTGTTGTATGCCTGTGAAACTTGGCCGGTCTATCTGTGCCATGCCAGGAAACAGCATCACTTCCTTTTGACCCGTCTTAGGAAGATTCTGAAGATCACCTGGCAAGACAAGGTACTAAACACTGAAGTCCTTTCTTGAACTGAACTACCAAGCATTCAAACTCTACTGCAGAGAGTGCAACTCTGATGGGCTGGCCACAGTGTTCAAATGCCAAACATATATTCGCCTAAAAGACTTTTACGGAGAACTCACATGAGGCAGTCGCTTACATGGAGGTCAGAAGAAATGATACGACACTCTCAAGGTCTCTGAAGAACTTTAGAATCCATTGTTAGACATGGGAGACACTGGCACAGGACTGCCCAGCATGGCATGCCCAAATCAAACAAGGCACTGTGCTCGATGAGCAAAGCAGAATTGCAGTAGCTCAAAAAAAAAAAAATGTGTAAACTCCAGAGACGTCTCCACTTCAAATGTTCAAATGGACTACTTGTACCTGTGATAGACCAGACCTGTGGTAGAGCCTTCCAAGTTCGTATTGGTCTGATCAGCCACAAATGGACACGCTTTACCTTGACTCTAACATAGTGATGTCATTTTGGTCTTCTTTGAGCACAAAAGACAACCACCAAACACAGTTCTCCAGGTTCCCAACCTCAGTGCCATCCTTGCCTTTCTGCACTCACACCACCAGTTCACTCGGTTAACAAATCGCATCATTTCTATCTTCATCTATCTTGTACACATCCTCTTCTCTCCCTTTAGTCACCACCCTAATGCAGGTCCTCATTGCCTACTGCCTGGTCAGCCTCCTGATCAGGCTCCCAGCCTTAAGCTTCTTCCCACCGAGTCCAACCTCCAGAGCTACCAAAGGGCTCTCCTGTAAAGGCAGATCCTGTGGCTCCGTATCATCTCTAGGCTCAAACAGGAATTCCTCTGACACGATGCCCCATTCCACCCTTTCCAGCCTCATCACAAGGTACTCTCCTCCGCAGATGCTATGGTCCAAACTTACCTTCTTCCAGTCCTTCACACAATACCTCATTTCCTGGGTCAGTGCCTCACACTTGCTTTCCCCCTCCCACAGCCCTTGCCTGGAATGCTTCTCCCTTTTCGCCTCCATCTCTTGGAATGCTTCCTTCAAGACTCAGCTCAAGTGACACTTTCTTCCCGAAGTCTACCCTGGTACCTCTAATTGCCAGAGTCTTCCTCTCCGAGGTTACTTCGTGTTCTGTACAGACCACGTGTGTATGTGGCCCCTTCCTAGCAGCACGTACGGACTACTTCCCTTTTGTCTGTGTATCTCTAGCACTAGCATAGTGCTTGGCACACGGGAGGATTCTAATAAATGTAGCCAAATTGATTGACTCCCCCTTTCACACGAGACAATGTTCAAAACCACTATCTGTGGTTTTGATCCCATTTCTCCCATCTTTTTATCACTCTTGCTCCCAACACGGAAGGGTGGTTATGAGGATCTGCAGTGGCCAAATAAAAGCGTCCCCTATTAAGTCTAGCCCATTAAAGCTGGAAGGGGTCTTATGTATCATCCGGTTCAACCCTAAAGTCTACAGAGGGAAACACTAAGCCCAGGAAGGGGACTCACTCAAGGTCCTATGACAAACCTATGACAGGCTTCTTCACTCTCTTCCCATGTTATAATATGCTGCCTCCCTTGTACTCTTCCCTCCTTATCAGTCCACCTAGGAGGAAGAGCAATGGAAAAGGACTGGATGAATCCATTAATGCTGGTCCTATCCTTGAGTGTTGGTTTTCTCATTCTTGCTGCTAGGTGACACAGGGGATAAAGTGCTGGGTCTGAAATCAAGAAGACCTGGGTTCAAATCTGGCCTCAGACACTTACTGGTTGTGAGACCCTGGGCAAGTCACTTGGCATGTCTCAGTTTCCTCATCTACAAAATGGGAATAATAATAGCACCAACTCCCCAGGGTTGTTGTGAGGACCAAATGAGATAGTAATCGTAAAGCACTTAGCACAGTGCTGGCACAACCTAAATGCTACATAAAAGTTACTATTATTACTGCTAATGCTGACTTGGACACTTACCAACTGTGTGATGCCGGGCAAGTCACCTAACTTATCGGCCTCAGTTTCCTCGACTGTAAAATGTGGAGGATAATAGCACTTACTTCCCCGAGGTGTTGTATTTGTGAAGTGCTTACTTAGCTCAGTGCCTAGCACGCAGTCAGCGCTATGTAAACACAATTATTATCATACAGGTAGGATTAGGCCTTTGATGTCCTGTCCAAACTCAGTCTGGCTCCTGCAAACCAAGGAGGACCATAGCCTTTGCCCTGCCAACTTCCGAGATGAGAAATTGCTTTGGAAACTCTTGAGGAGCTCTAGGAGTCTCTAACTCAAGCCAGAAAGAGTATTAGGCACTGACCCCAAGCAGGTTAAAAATGTTGAACTGAAGTCCCTTGAGTCACTGCTACTGATTCCCACAAGGGCCGTCGCCGCCCCCTACACAGCACACGTTTCTCATAAAGTAGTTTTATTTAATATTTCAAACAAAATGAAGCAGAGAAATTGATGAAAAATTAAACCCACCCACCCACTCCTAGAAAAAAAAACCTGTCTGCCCTTCCCTGCCCCAGTTGGTGTCAGCAGCTTAAGACCTAGGAGCCCCTCCAGACACTGGGGGCTCCTGCCTCAACGCATGGGCTGGGAGTGTGGCAGAACAGGAGAACCAAGGCCCACCCAGGGCCAAGGATCTCTAAGGTGAGTCTGCCTCCCTCTAGTGGTCTGATGGGATGCTGCAAGTATCCAGAGCACAGCAGGCTGGGAAGAACCCACAAAAACCAGCTCAGGCCTTTTTTCCTTCAGCCCACCACCCACCCCCGGCTGTGGCAGAAGCAAGACAGGCCAGCAGGCAGCGTGACCCCTCTCCCTCCCCCCAAATCATAGCTGCTTCATTCTTCACTCACCGAATGCACACAAAAGCCTGTAGGATCCTCTTAGGCTCACCCAGGCGGAGGAAATCACCAGGAGGGAACAAAGTGGGCAAGGTCAGACCCCAGAGCTTCCAGGCTGGAGGGCCCAAGGCAGCCCCTCCCCAGCAAGCCCCCCCTTCTGCTCCCCACAAGCTGGAAAATGGAGCCTCGGCTTTAAAGATGAGGAAAAAGGGCCTGGGGTGAGGGAACGGGGCATTCTTCTTCGAAGGGGAGGGAAAAAAAAACCACCCAAAACCCAAAAGGAGAAAAACCAAGATCAAACAGAAAACTAGAAACTCCCATGAGGTAGAGAGTCTGTGTTCAGGGCTGTCCGGAGTCTAAGAGATTTCCAAGCGAGTCTCCGGGCTCCTTGTCTGAGGTAAAATTTTATAAGTTTATTTCGGGCCCGGGGGTTGCGGGAGGTGGTGTCAGGACTCCTCCGTGCCGGAGTCGTCATCGTCGTCGCCGTAGCAGCTGTCGGCCTCCTCCTCCATATCATCATCCTCGTAGTAGTCGTCATAGAAGAGGTCTGAGCCCTCGTCCGGCGCAGGCGCCTTGGTCTTCACACAATACTCGGCCAGGGTTGTGGGCACCTTGACCCCATCCCGCTCCGCATCAACCTTGGTCCCCAGGACCTGCTTCCTGGGAAAGCAGAGGAGAGAGAAGGATCAGGAGGCGGCAGACAAGAGCCGAAAGAACTGATACACCTGCTCTGAATTCCAGCTCCATCCCTAACTCTTGGTGTGATGCTGCACAGGTCCCTCTCTCTCTGAATCACAGCTTAACCCTCTGTAAAATGGACCTAATGCTACCTGCCCTGCCAATCTCATGGGGACGTGAAAGATAAAAATCAAAGAATGGATGCAAGTGCTACATAAGCTGCTATCACTCCTCAGAAGGGGGCAGGAGACGGGTGCCAGAAGGCAAAGAGGAAGGGCAGAATAAGTGCTTGCCACAGAGGATGACAACGGCAGTGAGGCAGCATCAGCTCTCTTTTATTTCAATTTAAACTGACATTTCAGGGTCTGCTCTGGGTGAGACCAATCTGGAGGAGATCCAGATCCTCCCTTCATAAAGCCTAGAGTTCAACAGGAGGGAGAAGATAAAAATGACTGGAATACAAAATGGAGTGTGAAGATGCCCAGCGTTCATGGGAGGGGGCAAGGGCTTTGTGAAGGCCTGGTAGTACTGAGCAGGTCCCTGGGGAGGGCAAGAGAGGGGAACGTCCAGGCACAGATACAAGACCCAATATGCTACATTCTAAGAGCCCCAGCCCCAAAGCCAGGAGACTCTGGTTCAAGGCCCAGCTCTGTAATTCTGAGCAAGCCCCTTCCAGTTCTCGACCTCAGTTTGTCTATGAAATGAGGGCAAGGACTCAGATGATAAGTAAGGTTTATATGACATTCTTTAGGACCAGAAGACTTAGAAATGAAAGGGACCTTAGAATTCATTTTGTCCAGTCCTCTTATTTGGCTGACCAGGAACTTGAGACTTAAAGATGAAATGGCATGGCCAAGGTTGGCCGATTCCCATGCTCAAGCCCAGATCCTCGGACTTTAAATCTGGTCCAGCACATTTCCCCACCTAGTGATGCCTCTTCCAAGCCTCTCAGGTTCTGTCCAGTGACAACATTCTGTGCCTGAACAATGGGAAGGAGGCCGGGGATACTAATTTAGACAGACCCCAGGGGACAGCATAATAAGAGGAGAGGGGGAAGACAGGGCTAAGGAAACAGAAGGAGGACAGATTATAGAGGTTTTGATTACCAGGCTAAGGACTTTACTCTTTGAAAAATGGGTATTTGTGGAAAGTACCTGAGCAGAGGGACAAATCAGACGTTTCTGAGACGTGAGCGTGAGGAAATTGGGAGGACAATAATGTCATTAACTGAAAAAGGAAACAGGGAGAAGGGGAAAGGGAGAGGTAGAAGGGGGTACATTATCTGACAAAGAGGCATGAAAGGACTTTTATAGTAGAGGGGAAGATGGGGAACATGGGGGGGGGAATAGGTGAACCTTACTCTCACTGGCAGTGGCTCAAAGAGGGAATAGCGCACACACTCGGATACAGAAATCTATCTTACTCTACAGGGAAAATATGAGGTGAAGCGGATAAGAGAAGGGGAGGAGCGGATACCAGCAAGAGGAAGAGCAGATTGGGGGAGGAGGTAATCTTAAACAAAACATTTTTGAGGAGGGACAGGGTGAAATGGGAGAGAAAGAGAGAGAGAGAGAGAAGGATAAACAGGAGGAAAACAGGATGGAGGAAAATACATGGTAATCATAACTGTGAAAATGAATTTACAGCAAGTCTCTCTGATAATGATCTCCTTTCTCAAATATATAAAGAACAGAGTCAAATTTATAGAAGTAAGAGCCATTCCTCAATTGATAAATGGTCAAAGGATATGAACAGGCAGTTTTCAGATGAAGTAATCAAAGCTATCTACAGTCATATAAAAAAATGCTCTAAATCATTAATAATTGGAAAAATGCAAATTAAAACTCTGAGCTACCGTTCCACACCTATCAAATTGGCTAATATGACAGAAAAGGAAAATGACAAACGCTGTCAGGGATGTGGGAAAATTGAGACACTAATGCACTGCTGATGAAGTGGTATACTGATTCAACCATTCTGGAGAGCCATCTGGAACTATGCCCAAAGGGCTATAAAACCATTGCATACCTTTTGACCAACCAATTCCCCTACTATGTCTGTATCACAAAAAGGTAAAAAACAAAAAGGAAAAGTACCTATATGTACAAAAATATTTATAGTTGCTCTTTTAGTGGTGGCAAAGAATTGGAAATCGAGGTGGGAATACCCATCAACTGAGGAATGGCTGATAAGTTGTTGTATATGATTGTGATGGAATACTATTGTGCTACAAGAAATGACAAGCAGGAAGCTCTCAGAAAAACCTGAAAGACTTACATGAACTGATGATGCAAAGTGAAATGAGCAGAAACAGAACATTACATACAGTGGCAGCAATACAGTCTGACAATCAATTGTGAATGACTTAGTGATTCTCAGCAACACAATGATCCAAGACAATTCTGAAGGACGTATGATAAAAAATGCTATCCATCTCCTGATGGAGTCTGAATGCAGACCGAACCATAGTCTTTCTTCATTTTTCTTGGTTTTTTGTCTGTTTTCTTTCACAACATGACTAACGTGGAAATATGTTTTGCATGACTGCACACGTAAACCTGTATCAAATTGCTTGCCTTCTCAATGGAGGAGAAAAGGGGAAGGAGGGAGATAGAGAACTTGGAGCTCAAAAGTTTTAAAAAAAGGAATGTTAAAAATTGTTTTTACAAGTACTTGGGGGAAAAAAACCAAAATATTAAATTAAAAAAGAAAAGTAAATCAAGTAAACAGATCAAGAGGAAGAGATACTGAGTTGAGGAGCCAGCAGGACATCCAGCAGACAGATGGAAATGTGGGTCTGGAGCACAAAGAGAGATCAGGGCCAGGTCAAGGAAACAGAATGAGAGGCTTCGGAACTAAAATAACAGTTGAAGTTGTGGGAGTGGAACAAATCACCACGGAAAAGTGAAGAAACCTAAGGACAAGGCCATGGAGAACGCCTCCATCACCCTCCCTGTACATGTTAGAGAACATCTTGATTTATGGCGATATGTGAGAGAGAGAGAGAGAGAGAGTGAGAGTGAGAGTGAGAGAGAGAGAGAGAGAGAGAGAGAGAGAGAGAGAGAGAGAGAGAGTGTGTGTGTGTGTGTGTGTGTGTGTGTGTGTGTGTGTGTGTGTGTGTACGTACACAGGTATCTTTCATCTATCTACTTGAGAATTAAAGCCATAGAATGGCTTTAGGATGTCCTAAAAATAGTGGAAACACCTCCCTTTCTCATCAATATCCCCTCAGCCAGACTTGGCGAGACCACAATGACCCTTTGGCATCCCTGAAAAACAGGGAAGAATGGTTATACCTATGCACCAGGGATCCTTTGCCTTCTGGAGAAAGCAGCCCCTAAGGGCCAGCCACCTCAGAGGCAAAGACACTGATGCTGTAACTGAAGTCCTGCCACTTTCTTCACAGAAGAGCCATCCCTTTTTACCACCTACAAAGTAAGAGTTACAAATCTCATCTCCTCCATTCTTGTATGAACAGCAGAATGTATGGATCCTTGGAAAAAAGAATTACAATACAGACACACACAACCTGTTTCAGCCATGATCTCTCTGGACTGTGGCCTCCCAGGATCTAAATTCTCCAGAGCTGGAGCTCGAGGCCCCAAGGTGGTTTGGCCCAGGGCCCAAATTCCAATACATTGGAAAGCTTCTCATAGGATGACGTGATATATTGAAGCTGGATAGGGAAGGGGAAGGGCTATATATATTTATGCATATATTCTTGGTAGGAAAGGAAGGAGAAGCAATAGTGAAGCAGTGTGACACATTAAGAGTAACAGACCAAGAAAGAACCAGGCAACTAGAGTTTTGAGTTTCAAAATTATTTCACCTCTCAGTCCCCGCTTCCTCATCGGTAAACCTGGGATAATAATACTGATTATCTCCCAGGGGTGTTGGGAAAATCAAAACAGAAACAAACAACAAAACAGAAATTAGCCAATGTGAATTATGAAAACGGTCTTTGAAAACAACTTATTCTTAAGCCATGAACAGGACAGAGAATACATAGAGGCGAGACATAGAATAGAGGGGCTAGCTTGGGTTTCTTCAGTGCTAGATATGAAGAATTCTGAGCTTCTACTCCAACTTAGGACAAGCTAGATTCTCTCGGTGGAAGGGGTTACTGGGGATTATTCAATTAAGAACATACTGATCAAGAAGGTGACATGCACACTGCCTGTGGTATCTCTGTTAAGACCTCATTCAAGAGCTACCTTGACCAGGAAGCTTTCTGATTTCCTCCAGCTAGATGTGATCGTTTCACTCCTGTTATATTATGTGGCCCCTTATTTTTGCATCTCTCATAATACACTTCACACTACAGGTACTTGCGTACATGTCTTCACCAAGACAGTGCATGTGATGGAGTGGAAAGAGCCCTGGGCTTGGGAGTCAAGAGAAGCTGACTTCAAAGCTCACCGGTAGGGCTGACTCTAGCCGTGTGACAATAGGCAAGTCTTTTGGTTTTCCTCAATCTATCAATAAACATTTATTAGGTGTCTATTACATGCCAGGCACTGTTGCTGGGGATTTAGGGAAAAAAAAAAAGAAAAAGAAAAACAATCTCAAGGCTCATATACTCTATCGGGAGACACAAATGCATGTATCTCAAAAGTCTCAGTGCTTTAATGGTTTAAAACTGCACCAAGACTTTTGGGACACCCTGGTTAAAACCACATACAAAATATCTATAGAAAAATACAAATTAAACACCTAGTAGTTAAATACAAAGTAGTTAAGGGAGGGAGAAAAGGAAGGCACTACCAACTGGGGCTTTGTACAGAAGGCAGAGCATGGCTGTATCTTGAAGGAAGAGAGGGGTCCTATGAAGCAGAGGTGAGTAAAAGCAGAGATGGGAGATGAGGTGCTGCGTTTAAGGAAAAGAGAGACCAGTCTGGCTAGAGTAATGAAGGAAGGGCAGGAATGTATAAGGAGGTTGGGAAGAAGGGTGGGGACAGACTGAAGGCCTTTAAAACCTCACCAAGGAGTTAATATTTTATCCTAGAGGCAAAAGTGAGCCACTTGAGTTTACTGAGCAGGAGGAGTGACAGGTTAGAGTGACACTTAAGGAAAATCACTTTGGCATTAGTGTGGAGAATGGACTAGATGAGGGAGATTTGAGACAAGGTAACTGATGAGAAGTCATGGCTATATTCAAGCAAGAGGTGAAGCAAGGCCTGAACTAAGATAGTGGCTCTAAGTGGAGAGGAGCTGGATAGGAGCTATGTTGTGAGGCAGAATCAACAAATTTGGCAACTGATTGACTATGGTAAGAAAGACTGAGGGCTGGAGGTTAACACCAAATTTTAGGAACCTAGACTTGGAGACTAAAAGAATGGTGGTGCTTTAGACAGAAATAGGAAAGTCTGAAGGGGGTGGGTTTGGGGAAAAGATGAGTTTTCTTTCAGACATGCTGAGTTTAAGATGTTTCCAGGGTCATCCTAGTTTGAAATACCTAATAGTCAGATGGTGATGAGAAGAGAAAAGATCTGGATGTGTAGAGAGCTGGGAATTATCTGCACGGAGATTAAACCCACAGGAGCTGATGAGGTCCACAAATGAGAATCACATAGAGAAGAGGGCCCAGGACAGCATCTTTAGGAGGACCCACAATGAAGGGGCAGGATATAGAGGATAAGACAGCAAAGGAGACAGAGAAGGAACAATCAGATGGGTGTAATAAAAACCCAGAGGAGGAGAGTATGCAGGAAGGCAAGACAGTCAACAGTATCAAGGTAGGGTCATGAAGGGTGAGAACTGAAACAAAACAACCACATCTGGGAAGTGAGAGATCCTTGGCAACTTTGGAGAGGGCAGAATGCAAAGGACTAAGGAAAGAAAGTAGAGACAAGGAATACAGACAAGAGACTTGGGCATATTTCAAGGCAGTTGAGAAAAAAGAGGTAGATAAAGAATGACTTTAGAGACAGGGGATGACTGAGTGGGGTAAGCCAATAAAGAAGATGGGAGGAGGAGAAGGTCAAAGTCATGCAGCTCAAAGGTCATCTTCTACACAAAACCCTTCCTGATCTCCAGTAGGCAGTGCCCCTTCCCCCCAACTACCCACTATTTATTCTCTCTCTTCCTTTTGGTGAGGCAAATGGGGTTAAATGACTTGCCCAGAGTTACACAGCTAGTGAGTGTTATATGTCTGAGGCCAGATTTGAACTCGAGTCCTCCTGACTCCAGGGCCTGTGCTCTATCTACTCACTGCGCCACCTCACTGCCCCCACTATTTATTCTCTATCTCCTTATGTAGGTACTTCAGGCCTACCTCAAGAGTAAGCACTGTTTCCATTTTCATCTGTGTGCCGGCAGCACTTGGTACAGTATCTAGCACACAGCAAGGGTTTTATTATCTGATGCAGAGGAGTTAGCAATGGCGAGGAAAAAAGTGTAAGGATGATGTCCAGGGATTCTCAGAAGAGGCAATCCATGGGAAATGGCCTCAATTTTCTCAGTTAAGGAAGAGGTGAGGTTCTCAGCTGCGAGGTCAGAGGTTACGGGGATATTGAGGAGAGGACTGTCTCGTTGTAGTGAGGGTCTTAGTTGAGATTGGATAACATAAATTTGAGGCGTACCCAGACAGCACAGCAGAGAAGGGTGGTGGAAATAATCCACTGGCGAGGGATGAAGTTGACAACAGGATACAGGCCAAAGGAATTGAGAGGAAAAGGTAGAGCTGAACTGGTTAAATACAAGCTCAAGTTTGGGAGGGGAAGGAAGTGAAAGGAGAGCAACAGTCATAATGGCCTGAGAAAAGTCATGAATGATGGAGGAATTAGAGGTCACGGGGAGTCAGGATACAGTTAAGAGGAGTGAGACAGAAGGAAAAATGCAATGACAGAAAAAGAACACAGGGAGAGGCAGTGGTGATGAGGTGGGGTAAGGGAATGGGTCGGTCACCGTGGAAGAGCCATTCCAAGGGCACAGTGGAAAAAGTGGAGCATATCTGTAATGGGACAGTTATGGGGGAGGGTTGAGGGGGTAATCAAAAATAAAAGAAATTGATTACTCCTGATGTACCTGACAGAAGTGAGTCAGAAAGCTGAGAAAGATGTGGTGGGTATGTGATGAAGAAAAGAGTGACCTGGGAAAAGGCTGTGAGCTGTATCTAAGAGAAAGGGGAACCTCTTTTGAACGGGGTCGTGTTTGTGTGTACACACACGCACGCCCGTGTAAGAGATGGGGTAACCACAGAAGATAAGGCAGAGTCAGTCAGAGTAATGTCCTGAGAAAGTACTGAAAAGCCCAGCACAGAGCAGGTGTTTAATAAATATTTACTGACTGACTGATCACAGCACTTACCTCAAAGGCAGTGAGAATCAAGTGAGTTAATGTACAGAAAGTGCTTGGCAAACCATAAAATGCCATATGCAAGTCAAAACTGCTCCGTTTCCTCTAGTAGAGCTAAGCACTATGTTTTCCACCCAGCGGGCATTTAATATTTGTTGAATAAGAAGACTATTCCACGTCCGCGCGGACCACTCACAGCCTGCCTACCACTGGGCACAATATGGCACGATGGGAAGAGCCCCAGGCCCCAAGCTGGAAGAAATGGGTCTGGCCTCTGCTTGCCTCTGACCTCCAACTGCCTCATCCAGAGCGAGGACGATGAGGAGTCCTCTAGAATGCCTTGCCAAGGATGCTCTTCCATGAAAGTTATGAAGAGATCCTTATGCCAACTAAAGCACCATAAGAATGTGAAGGGCCTGACGGGCAGCTCCCTCCCACTCACCGGATGATGTCTGTATATTCCCGGTCCTTCCCTTTGCTGTCTTTCCATTTCCTGTACATCACGGAAGCATCCACGTTGGCTGGTGAGAAGGTATTGGGCTCATTTAGGAGGGAGATCACGCTCAGGAGGATGGTCCTACCCAGCAAAGGAAGGTTGGGAAAATTGCACTGAAAGTCATCTACTCAGAAAGCCACCCAGCGCTGAGACCCTTCCGTGGCCAGCAAGAGCTTTGCAGAAAGACACTGACATTTCTCATGGCACACAGAAATGAAGTCCACTCAACATGCCATAAAGGTAGGAAAGTGCCCACCTGAGACAGGCTTTGGGGATGAGACAAAGGCCCTAGAGAGGACGCCTCTGGTGGATAAGGGGGATGTTTCTAGGTAACTGACTGAGAAGGGATGTAGCTCAATGGATGAGAAGCAGGGAGGTATAATAAAAAAAAAAAAAAACCCATTGCATTTAGAGTCAAAGAATTGGGTTCAAATCTCAGCTCTGCAAAATCCACTCCCTGTGTAACCTTGGGCAAGTCTCTCCTCTTGGTCTCAGGTTCACTGGACGAGGCAGCCTGAGACCCCATTCAAATCTAAGTCGACGAGGCTGGCAGTATGTGATGGTCAGCTGTGTTTGTGTTTTCAGAGAATCTCAGCGTGGGAAGGGACCTGAGAGGTCATTTAGCCCAATCTGTACCTCAACAAGAATTCTCTTCCTCCACAATATCCTCAAATGGTCATTCATTTTCCTGGAATACTTCTAGTGAAAAGGAACCAACTACAATCCAGTTCACTTTTAGACAGTTCTAATTAATTATTAACAAGCTTTTCTTTACATTGAGCCTAAATCTGCCTCTATGAGCTCCATAAGAGTAGACACTGTATTACAGACGCTGTATTAACATATAATTATACATTAAAATGTATAATTTTATTTTCCTTAATATTTCTGCACACAGTATGCACGAAATGTTTGCTGAATAAATGGAATGAATGAAACATTTAAGCCTTCAATTACTACTAGTAGTATACTAGAGTATTGGCTATGCATACGGGTTGAGGGTCTAGCTAGGATAGAAACATTTCCTCTACTGTCTCCATTTTTCTCCCTGTCACTAAATTGCTGTGGGACCTTGGGCAAATCATTTCTCTGACTGCCTGTTTGCTGATCTGTAAAATGAGGAGGTTGCCCCAAAATCTTCAAGGTCCCTTTCATTCGTGACCTTCTACAAATCTGTAAGATGATGAGGGATACAGACAACAGCATCCCCACACTACCCTCCCCTCTGCGGGTGTCCCAACCTGAAGTCCCTTTCAAAGGCAAGCTTTGGCCTTTGAAGCCCAAGGACTGCTAGGGAGGTGGAGAAAGATGCCAAGTGAACTGCTACCCAAAAGCATCTCTTCAGGCCCTCCAATTCACCTTTGGGGAGAACTTCACTTCAATGTATTCTAAGAGTCATATGGTCATGAATCAATCCCCTCTTCTCAGTGGGACTTACCTCCCCTCGGGGGAACTCACCTGACATTTTGGGTGGGGTTCCATCGCTCAGAGGGAAGCTCTCCACTCTGGGGATCATCTACTGGAGGGTGGAGGATTGAGATACAAACATCCCCAGTCTGGTCATAAGCAAAGGGAGAGAAGAGAGAGAGGAAAAGAGGGAGAGACGGAGAAAGAAAGAGAGAGAGACAGAGAGAGAAAGAGATTAGCTTCTGTAGTTAGGACAAAAATTCAAGTCCTTTTTTGAGGGAGATGGGCCACACTGATGTGGCAAACAAGGACCTTTCCTTGAATAAACCCTGCTCCTCTCTGGCAGGAAAACAGGGGCATTTACATTCCCAAAGATAGTCTCACAGACTAGGATGGATAGCCCAAGCTAATTTCATCCATCATTTTGCCTGACTTAAGGCTCTAGTTACCTGCTTGTCCATATTCATGCTCCTTTTAAACTGAAATACCCTCCACCCTGAAACTGGCTTCAGGTCAGACACTAAACTAGTCCAGTCCCAGGGCAAGCGTCAGCTTGTACGAGACAAATAAATGCTCTGGGACATAGCACTAGGCGGTCTCATCTTGAGGAAGGATGTACACAAAGGCAGTCAGCAGACTGCAGAATCTTTGAGGGTGGGGCCCTGCCTTTTGCTTCTCTAGAACCCATCAGCATATAACACAACGTAAGTCATACAGCAGGCGTGTAAATACTTGTCCTGCTGAGTACCACTGGGGAAGGACTCATAAAAACCTCAGGAATCCCAAGGGGCAGAAACAACCTGGGGCTTACCTCATAGATGTTCGGGTGCCACATTTTGGTGAGGAACCGGAAAGCTGGAGGGGAGTAGGGGTAATCAATAGGAAACTTGAGGCGGGCCTGAGGAAGGAAGTAACAGGAAAAAAGAATGAGAAGGGAATGGCAGCATGCTCCTATGTGTCCTGGTAAAGCAGAAAAGGCACCAGCCTTTTCCCAAATTCCAATCCTGCACCAAGGTATTTACCAGTAGTGTGATTGGGCAAGCCAGTTAATGTCTTTGAACTTAGGTTTCCTGATCTTCAAAACAGGGCCAATAACACTGATGGTCCTACCTCAGAGGGCTAAAAGTGCTTTGGGAACCATACAGCATTAAGAGTTATTGTTATTATGGTGTTATATCGTAGGTACACTGGAATGGGAGTCAGAAGATCCCTGAGTTCTAGGTCTGGTTCTGCCACTTACTCTATGACTTCAGCAAATCACTTTGTCTTTCTAGCCTCCAACATGGAAGCTGTAACTGTTATGGAAGAAGAGAGACCCATGTCCCTAAAGACAGGTATAGAATTCTTCCTAGATACTCTTCCTCACCCTTTTCATGTTAACTGAAAACACAGTCTAGTCCCTTTACAAAACCCCATTCTATGTCTCTACTAGGCCAGTAACTTTCTTGGAGCCTACCTGGTCAGACTCTGCTCTCTATACAACTAATTTCAGACCTCAGGCACTTTCCGGACACCTGACAGCAGAATGCCTATCATTTATTTCTTCCCTGACAAAACTATCATCCAAGTCCCTTCCCTTTTTACCCTTGTGAACAGACCGGAAGCTCTCTAAGGGCAGGAGTTCCAGACTGGAAGTATCTGCCAGAGCAGCTCATGGCCCCACTTGGCCTTGGTAAGGGAACTCTGTTAGTGCACAGCTGGGTTTCTAATGGTCCTTGGAAGGGCCCAATACGTTTTTGGAAGTAGTTTTTTGTCCAAGGACTTTAAAGAGGGCTAGGGATCCTGATTTAAGAAAACTCACTTTCCCCTGCTGGCTATACTTGAGCACAGGTCTCTGATGTAACCTGTGCCAGTGTGTTGCAAAGCTTTTGTGATGACAGCTTTGTTGTCTTCCTCCTTGGCTGACCAGCTGGTGAAGCAGGTAAACAAAGGAAGTACAACTCAGATGTTTTTGTTTACTGGAAGCTGCTTAGGATGGCCAGGCCCTGAATCCTAGCTGCCTGAAATACATATGAAGAAGTTAAGAGCTGTGCCTGGAGGTTGACCAGCAAATGGCACCTTTCTTTGTGATAAAGGACAATCACAGATATTTCCAGGAGAGTCATTTTACCCAGTGATAAACCCTCAAAGGCACAGTTGGATGCTAAATCACCCCCAGCAGTACCTCCTGCCTCCCAGTTCTGTGAACCTTTTTTGGAAAAGTTAAGCACAGGGAGTTAGCCCATGGCCATTAGTTTCCAACTTTCTTACAAATACACACAATATTCTCAACTCTCAACACTGACTTCAGATTTAGAGAACAAAGTTGGCTAGTTTTTGAGGCTGGCAGGTTCTGAAAAAAGCCGTCTTCAAGAGAAGACTGTAGCAGACAAGAAAAAGTGGTCCCAGAAGTAAGTGTGCCATGATCCAGCATATACACTCCCTCACCAAAAAATATATCGAGAGTTGGATAAGAAGGAATAAAGTAATAAGTATATTCATCTCTTCTGAATCGGAGGTCTTAAGCTATCCTGACTGAGACCCCCTGGCAGATCCATTCTAATCAGGGTTCAGCAGAAAATTGGTGACCTTCCTCCAAAGGGAATGGGAGAATTTCCTAAGAACAAAAAGGTACGTGACCCTGGACAAGTCCCTTCTCAAGTGAAGGCTGGAAGACCTTTCATTGGCATGGTTTATAACATTCTTATGCATTCCATATATAGGGAATTCCTGTATATGAACATGAAGGAATGAATGAAAAATTTGCACTTAATTCTTAAGTGCTTATTCTGTGTCAAATACTTGGCAGAGTCATGGAGATACAAAGAGAATAACAAAGACAGTTCCTATCCTCAAGGAGCTTACATTCTAATGTAGAAGGCAATATACATAGGGGAATGCAAAGAGGAATACTTTGGTCCAGAAAGTTACATGGATAGTGAATGAGGGTATAGGGTAGTAGACTGACATACCCACCCAGGAACAATGGCAGAGTTGATTTGAACATGATTCATGGTCACACTGAACTATACGTGAGCTAAGCCTATGATTCTCTCTCTAGGTCTGTTCTCCCTTCTCTGTAAAATGAAAGGGACAGACTACATGCTTTCTTAAGGTGCCTTTTCCAACTCAGTCTATGAACTTGTATGGAATCCATGGAACTGATCCAGGAGGCAGTGTCTAATGGGGAACAACAAACAATAGATCATACTATGAAACTACAGATAGAGAGACGTCAGCAAAGGCCACAGGTAGGACTCTGGGCTATTTACTGGATCAAAGGTAGAGCTGGCTAGTTATGCCACACATCCAGCTGCTTCCTGGCAAGCAAAAACAGCTTTCTCAGAAAAGGGTTATACAGTTCACCTCTCTAAAGAGGGCAAGGTTTTCAGCACAAATGCTGGTCCCATTCCCTAATAACAATCCCCTCTTCTCTGGAAAGATGAAAAAATCAGGTCCAGGCTGACAGACCGAGTCCAGGTTTGAATCCCAGAGTTCACATCCTGAGTCCCACCCTAGGTCCTTTAGGCCTCACCTCAAATCGAAAACAAACATCACTCATACTGGCCTGTGAGACTTCTGGAATTACACCCTTTACAAAACTGGCAGCTGGGCCCCTGGCCCATTGGGTAACAGCCGTTAAAAGATCAGCACAATAATGCAAACACAGACATCTGCCTTGCCAGCACCAGCTTTCCCCTTGCCTGCCACCCCCAGAACGGCCTGATTGATCTCTTGTGGTCTCTCCCAGTTGATCCGGCTCAGTCATAGCTTCAACCTGCACTCTTGGCCAAGGTAAAACCAGGATGCCTTGGACCTGTGGGGGAAGGGAAGTAGCTCTGCAATCAGGACCAGGGTTTGAAAGCCTGTCCATGCTTAGAGAAAGATGGTTCTGGAATTGGCCCATGGAACCAGGGCTGACCTCTTATCTGGTAATCCTACTCCAGTTCTCATCCAGATATCTGTGCTGCCGCCATCCCCCACCCCAGCCCATTTTTGTCGGGGGGGAAACAGGATACAACAGAACCAAACTGAATAAAACTTAAACTATTTGGAATGATAACATTCCTGGTGACAAACCATTGCTCATAAGAACAGGAAAAAAAATTATTAAGGTTGCCGAAACCCCAAAGCTCAGGCCTCTGGAGTAACTGTTCAAAAACAAACACTTACTAAATTTAATTTGCTGACCTCAGGGCCAGAGAAACAGAGGGAAAATGGGAAGTCTATTTTAAGGGGCAAGTATAAGCCCTGACTTTTCTTTGTAAAAGCCCAGGATGTTAAAATCCTTGTCAAAGGGTCCAAGGAAAAGCAAACCTCCCCAAGTAAAATCTGTCTGGTTCCATTTTTAAGGGGGCCAATGGAGCAGCAGATCTTTGCAGAGGCCTTGCAGGGGCTAAAGGAGCAACAAGGTCCTGGCCAGGAAGTGACATGAGCTTCTTTGCCCCCATGGGGCTTGAGAGGTTACTGAGTTGCTTGATGGGCTGCATCTACAGGGGACACCTTCTGAACTGGCCTGTCACAAATGGGATAGGGAAGGGTGAACCCCCATCTCCTGAAATGCCAGTGTGGCTACTCTCATTTTCTGGTTTGCCTGGGCAGCTTGTGATGCTTTCGTTGGAAGACTCCAGGTAACAACAGCCTTCTGGGTCCAGCAAGCAGACAGAAAACCTGCTTCCAACTCAGCTCCAAACCAGCCTCCTCCCCCAGCCAGACCCTGTGTTCCCCAACAATAGGGCACTCTGCACTCCACTAGCTCCAAAGGACACATGAGGGAGTGAAGAGCTGCTATATTCAGGGTTCTTTGTTTCCTCTGGGGAGGGGAGAAGAATGGGAAAGGGGAAAACAGGGTAAGGAGCATGAAACAAGGTGGGGCAACAGAAACCCAGAATTAATGAAAGGCCCTAAATGAGGGCCTCACGACCCCCTAAATGAGAACAAAGAAAAGTATCCTTTTCTTTTAGGGTTGGAGAAGACAGGGAAAAAATATCATCAGGAGTGGGGGTAGTGATTTAGGAGTAAGGAGAAAAAAAACGAACGAATGGACTTGTCCTGGGGACATATGGTAAAGGATAGGAAAATTAAGGTTGGGGAGGGGGAGGTAAGAAAGGCAATTCAGACTACCCCTGGGAACAATTTTTTGGGGGGGGAAGGTTTGAGGGGATAATAAAAATAAAGTACCTTACAGAAGAAGTGAGTTGGAAAGCTAAGTATGTTGTGTGTATGTGGTGAAGAAGACAGTGACCTAGGAAATGGCTGTGGGGTGTGTCTAAGAGAAGGGGAACCTCTCTTGGATGGGATCATGTTTGTGTGTGCACACATGCCCATGTAAAAGATAGGGTAATTACACATGTAAGATATGAAAATCTGTTGTGTGAATCAGGAATATATAGGAGTGTGTGCCTGTGCATAAGATAAGGGAATGTAGCATGTTATATAAGAGATAAGGGGACTTAGCGTGATGTGTATCTAAAAGAGAGATGAACTCTGTGTGTGTATGTGTATGTATGTGTGTGTGTGTGTGTGTGTGTGTGTGTGTGTGTGTATAAAAGATAGGGGAATTCTAGGACATGTGTGTGATGAAAGAATCCAGTCTTTGTTATATAATACATGGGAAGACCTATTCTCTGTGTACTTGTGCTGTGTGTAAGAAATGATGAAAATCCCTAGTGAGTGTGTTTGTATGTAAGAGATGGAGGTAACTCTCTTGCCTGTGTGTGCATGTGTATAAGGGATGAGGAAATCTATCCTGTGTGCATACAAGATGGGAGAATCTATTCTATATGTGCATATAAAGGAAAATATGCAAGTGTGAAAGAGATAACAATCTATTGTGTGTGCTTGTGTAAGAGATGAGAGATCATACACATATATAAGAAATGAGAATCTATCATGTGTGTGCATGTAGAAATCTATTCTATGTATGAGATTAAGAAGAAAATCTATCGTATGTATGGAGAATCTAGCTTGTGTATATGTGAGAATAACAGGTATGCAGAAGAATCTATTGTATGGGGGAGGCAGACACACAACACAATTGTGTACGTTGTATAAATGGGGAGAGTCTATTAAATATGTATATGTGTTGCGTGTGTATGGAGAATCTACCACCTGTGTGTGTACAGAGAATCTATCTTGTGTATGTTGGAGAACAAAATGTATATGAGGGCCTATGTATGTCATGTGGATGTTGGGGGAGACTATCACCTTTCTTTTTTGGGGGAATCTTTTGTATGAACATGAGTAAGATGGGAAAACTTATCACAATGCTTGTGTAATGTACGTGTGTCTCTACAGTAGTACGTGTATCATGTGAGAATGTAATATATATATATATATATATATATATATATATATATATATATGCATGTAAATGTGTGAGAATTTATCCTCTCTCTGTGTGTTCATATGGTTGGGAAAGATCTAGCCCGCATGTGTGTGGGAGGATGGAAAGGTAGAAATAGAATCTACCATGCCTGTGTCTGCAAGTGTACTGTAGAATCCACTCTACATACATGCAAAAGAGAAGACAATCTATCCTGCTGTATACATAAGAGAAGAGAGATTCAATCAAGCCTTCATGTGAAAGAAATGTTAAGAACCTAGCAGAGGAGGAGGAAATATAAAAGACTGGAAACCAATCGTCATGGGGGGTGTGTGTAAAAGAAGGTGGGAAACTATGTAGAGGCAGTGTAAAAAGGCAGAAGAACCTGCCATTGGGTGAGGTAAGAGATAAAATGGTAAATCAACTATGGGGTAAGAGATGGAAGAACCTACCATGGAGAGGAGTAAAAGATGGGGGAGGTAAGACATGGGGAAATCTACCATGAGGTGTGGTGGTGGTAAGAGACAGGAGAACCTACACGGGGCGGGGGGGAGGTGTGATTGGGAATCTACTATGGGGGAGAATAAGAGATGAGGAATCTTCCATGGGGATGGGTAAGAGATGGGGAATCTACTATGGAAGGTAATAGATGGCGGAGCCTACCATATGGGGGGAAAGAGAAGGCGAATCTATTATGGGGGCAGGACAAGAGATGGGTAATCTACGGGCAGGAGTAATAGATGAGGAAATTTAGCATGGGAGGGGTAAGAGACAGGGAACCGACCATATGGGAAGAGATAGGGAATCTATTATGGGGGAGGATAAGTGATCGGGGAACTTACCACGGGGGGAGGGTAATAGATGGGGGAACTTACCACGGTGGGGGGGGGAAGTAATAGATAGGAGAACTTATCATGGGAGGGATAAGAGACGGGGTATCTACCACGACGGGGGGGGGGGGGGGAAGAGATGGGGAGCCTCCACGGCAGTGGGGAGTGGCAGGCGAAGGAACCCCACGGGGTGGCCGGGCCCCCACGTTAGAAGCCGGGCTGCTCTCCGCCTTACCTTGAAGTAGCCGCCCTCGTAGTAGGTGTTGGGGGGCCCGAAGATGGCCACCTCCCAGTTGTACAGGTCGCCCTCGTCCACCAGGGTCACCCGGAAGCCCTCGACCGGCTCCTCCTGCAGCCCCTTGAGCTCCAGGAGCAGCGCCTTCTGCGAGCTGGGCACCAGCGGCCGGGCCATGGCGGTGCAGACGGAAGCAGTGGCCGCAGCAGCGGCAGCGGCAGCAGCGGGGGTCAGGGAGGCGGCGGCGGCGGCGGCAGCGGCAGCGGCAGCGGCGGGGGCGGGTGCCGAGGTCGAGGTTGACGGTCCGGGCTGCGCCGCGTCGGGGGAACTAGGCCGCACGGCCGCCCCGGACTCGCGTGACGGGCCGGGCCGAACGCTCTGGGCAGGGGGGGAGGAGGAGCCGCCGCCGCCGCCACTGCCGGGAGCCGCCGCCTCCGAGCCCTGAGCTCCCGAGTGCTCCACTCGCTCTGGATCCCCGCTCCCTCCCCAGCCCAGCCCAGCCCAGCCCGGTCCCCCGCTCCGCCCTCTCCTCCTCCGGCCTCTCCCTCCCTTCAGCCCGCCCTCAGCCGCCGCCTCCTCCTCCTCCTTCTGCTTCCCCTTCCCCTCAGGCCGCTGCTCGCGCAGGGCACACCGGGAACTGTGGTCCGCTCTGGCCCGCCGGCTTTGGGGCGCCTGCGCCGGGATGCCCGCCCGTCTACCTGCCCGCCCTTTCGCTCTGCCTGTATCGCCCTCTGGCCCCACTGACTACCTTTGCCCGCGCTTGCGCCTGAGCCTGCGCCTGCGCCACTCCGCCGGCTACCGCGAGCCCGTTCCCCCCCCTCCCGACCGGCCTATTCAAGGGGGAGAGGAGAGGGGGGCCGAGCGCGCAGGCGCGCCTCAGCCGCGATTGGGTTTCTCCCCAGGCCGAGGCCGCAGCCGCCCTAGCCGGGACTACAACCCCCAGACGCCTCTGCTGGGGGACACAGGGAGGGGAGGTTGCAGGGATGGGTAGGCGTTGGAGCCGGTGGCGGCCCCGTGTGGTTGGGTTTGTTGTTTTGTTTTGTTTTGGTTTTTTTGTGACGTCCCTTCACCCCCCACCCCCTGAACTGGTGAGGGCGGGGCTAGGGTAGGAGGTGAAGGCTAGGGTGGGGAGTAGGGGGAGGAGGGACAGGGAAGTGGGTCAGCTTAGCTGGGCAGGACCCGAGGCCAATCCAACCCGACAAACTTTTTTTTTTTTTAAAGAATTTATTATGAAGGAACTGGGCGTGTTCATCCTGGAGAGGAGAAGGCTGGGGGTTGGGGCATGACCGCAGCTGGCCTCGAGCCTTGTTAGGGCTCGAGGCGTCTGACTTGTTCTGCCTGGCCCCCGAGGGCAGACCTGGGGGAACGTGCAAAGGTTTCAGACAGCCCTCGAGTTAGGGGAGCTGTCGCGAGTGGAAGTGCTGGCCCCCGCAAGTAGCGAGCTCCCCGTCATGAAAAGGCCGACCAAGTGTTGCACGCCGTCTGCAGGGGCTTCCTGTTCAGTATGGCCTGGGCAGATGGCTTCGGGGGTCCGTTGTTCCACCCGCCATCACCTCCAGCCTCCGGGGACCCCGAGTCTTTTCCACCCGAGGCTTTGTCTGTATTTGACGGGCAGGGAAGCCGAGGCTTTGCCGGTTGGAGAGACGATGAGTGGGTGGGCAGATGCTTGGACCACCCCTATACCCAACTGAAAAGCATGACCTAGAGCCCGCAGGCACGAGCCCACGCGGATGGATTCTGTGCCGTGACTCAGTGGCAGCGAAAGCTGCTTGAGGACAGCCTTTTGTTTTGGTTTTGCCTTGGGCTGCCCAGCACGAGACCTGGCACGGAGCAGGTAGTCAATAAATAAAGGCTGGTTCAATTTGAATTCGTCTGTTTCCTTTGGCAACAGTTGCTTACTTACTGCTTAAGAAGGACAAGCCAGGGTGTCCTTGTTTCTGGGCCGACTCACACATCCGGAAAGATGCATGCAGGGGCCGGGGTGGGGTGGGGGGTAGGGGAGTATGCCCAAGCATTATAGTCCCAGGTGCTTGTTGACCAGTCACTGATGAGGACTTTGATGTGGTGCTGATGATATAATATCTATATTCAGTGCTTCCTCCAAACACACGCCCCTAATGTAAGGGTCGTTTTTTGTAGTATCGATGATGTCTCAGTGCGAACTCCCTTTTTATTTTGTTTTTATGCCCCCTTGTATGGGGGAGATATCCTCACTGCCAAAACATAGGCCTCAAAAGTGGGTCAGCCAGGACCAAGGACAATCTGGCCATACTCACTACATGTGGCAAAATAAATGGAAGCCGTCCCCTCTCACCCCGCCCAGTGCATGCAGTAGGAGGGAATGAAGCCGCTGTTTCTGTAACCTTGGAAAGACCACAAAGCACTTGGATTTGAACCCCACTTGCCAATTAGTTGTGTGACTGTGGTGGTCCAAGGGACTAAACTTTTCAGAGTCTCAATCTGTAAAATGGAAATAATGAAATCCATAGTCTTTATCTCACAGGGTTATCTAAAGGATCAAATTATATGATACATACAAAGTATCTGGCAACTTTAAAGCACTGTATAAATGACAATTATTATTATTTCCTCTTGTGTAAAATGAGGTGCCTTCCCTCTCGAACACCCTCTGTTCTGTGAATAAATTCAATAAGCTCTCTTATCCAAAGGGGAAGGGTATATCAGCTGCTTCAGGAGGAAGAGGGGATGATCCTCCCTCACTGGCTGGGTATGCTAGAGGGGGGATTGATGCTCATGCCTGGGTTAGACCAGTTGGTTCCTCCTAGCTGAGATTCTGAGATTCAGCGAAGACAGGTACAGAGAAGGAAGACAAAGGAGGGACAAGAGATGCATGATGAGTCATCTTTCCCCTGCCCTCAGACAGTCACAGCCTCGTTGGCACCCTGCACATGAACATGGCGAGATTACATGACAGGGCTAGATGTAAATAACCCCAAGACAACAAGGGAAGAGGTGTCACAATGCCGGATATGATTCACTGGAAGATGAGCTTGTCAGTGCTGTAGGAGTTCAGGAAGGGGGAAATCAAGGAAGGCTCAGCAAAGGAGGTAGTAGCTGACTTGGCCCTATAGGGATTTGGATAGGCTGAGCACGTGGGAAGGCAATATAGGAACATTCCGAGAAAGAGGAAGGGGGAATTGTCCAGAGGTGGACAGCATGTTTTGGAGGCTGGTAATAAACCAGTCTGACTGGAATAGGGAGATTCCTCAAAGAGGCGAGGGGAGATAAGTCGGACAGGTGGGTTGGTGACAAACGCCAGGTGGAAAAGTATGGACTTTTTCTTTATGTTTAAGGCAATTGGGAGCTATTGAAGGTGTCTGAACAGAAGAGGGACCTGTTTTGAGAAAATAATTCTGGATCTATGAGGAATGACTTGGAGAGAAAGAGATCAGAAACAGGGAGGCCAATAGTCCATGATGAGAGGATGAGGAGAAGGGCATTTATAAAATGTATACTACGTACCAGGCACTATGCTAGGCACTGTAAGAATATTTTATTATTTCTCAATGTTGAGGGAGGGACTGGAGGGAGTGAAAGAATTTGGAATTTTAAAAAATTGTTTAAATGAATGTTAAAAATAATAATTTTTTGAAAAAGAATATGTCATTTGATCTCACAATTCTGTGAGGTAGGTGCTGTTATTATCCTAATTTTTTTAGTTGTTGTTCAGTCGTGCCTGACTCCTCGTGACCCCATTTGGGGTTTTCTTGGTAAAGATACTGGAGTGGTTTGTTGTTTCCTTCTCCAGCTCATTTTTACTGATGAGGAAACTGAGGCAAACAGGGTGAAGTGACTTGCCCAAGGTCACACAGCTAGTAAGGTCTGAGGCTGGATTTGAACTCAGGAAGAGGAATCTTCTGATTCTAGGCCCAGTACAATGTCCACTGTATGCCACCTAACTGTTCATTTTACAGATGAGGAAACTGAGGCAGACAGAGGTGAAGTGACTTGCCCAGAGTCACACAGATAATTGAGACCATATTTATTTTTATTTATCTTTTATTTTTTTAAATTTTTTTGATTCATTAATTAATTTATTTTTAGTTTTCAACATTCACTTCCACGAGATTGTGACTTTTCAACATTCACTTCCACAAGATTTTGAGTTCCAAATTTTCTCCCCATCTCCCTCCCCTAACCCCAAGACAGCGTGCATTCTGAATACCCTTTCCCCTAATCTGAGACCAAATTTGAACTCAGGTCTTCCTGATTTAAGGCCCAATGCTCTAGTAACCTACACTTATATAGCACCTCCCATGCGTTATCTCAGCTAATCCTCAAGGTAGCCCTATGAAGCCAGTATTGCATGTTATCTTTATTTTACATAGAAGGAAACTGAAACTCAATAAAGTTAAATGACTAGCCTAGGGTCACACAGGTAGCACGTGTCAAGAGGCAGGATTTGAACCCAGGTCCTTCTGACTCCCAAGTCTAGCACTCTACCTACTATGTCATGTTGCTCTCTTTCAAGAGAAGTGTCATGGAGTTGGAATCAGCAGGACTTGGTGATGAATGAGATGTGAAGAAGGAGGAAGGGGGCCAACCTTGAGTGGATGGAGGTGCCTTGAATAGAAATAAGGAAGTTGGGACGAAGAGCTAAGTTGGGATTTGTTTGGGGACGGGGTCAATGATGAATTTGGTTTTGAGACAATAAATGAAGGGACCAGTAAGCAAGCAGAGCTGTACAAGATGTAGTTAAAGCATATAGGAATGGAATTCAGGATAGAGAGAGGTGGGAGCTGGGCGGGCCACAGCTCTGTGTCACCCAATTTATGGGGCAATTAAAAGTAAGGGAGATTGTAAAGGGCAAAAGACCCACATGTACACAAATATTTATAGCAGCTCTTTTTGTGGTGACCAAGAATTGAAAATTGAGGGGATGCCTATAAATTGGGGAATGGCTGAATGAGGTGTGGCATATGAATGTAATGGAATACTATTGATTCCATAAGAAATGATGAACAGGCAGATTTCAGAAAAACCTGGAAAGACTTCTTAGGGCTACCTTGAATGAACTGATGCTGAGAGAAGTGAGAAGAACCAGGAGAACATTGTACATAGTAAGAACAACATTGTGGGGCGGGGGGAGAAGTGGGAGGAGGAGAAAACTCAAAACTCAAACTCTTATGGAAGTGAATGTTGAAAACTAAAGATAAATAAAGAAAGAAAGA